TCTTTTTTTTATCTCTTTGTCTTTTGTTTTTTATTTAAAGTTTGTATTTTCTTTTTAAAATTAATTTTCTGTTCTTTAGTTTGACAAAAATGTGTCGGTTCCTGTTCTTTGGTTCCTGGTTCTTGGTTCCTTAACAGGTGGTTCTCATGTGATAGTTCCTGTTCTTTGATTTCTTTTTTTAGTTCCTGTGTGTTAGTCCCATGTGACCTGAGAAAGGAGAGGATACTGTGTGGGATCCATTTAAATGGAGGAACATCTGAGTGGGAATTCTGTAGAAAATCACTGAGAAACCAGCTTTTTAGGGCTTTAGAGGAAGGAAAATAAATTAAAAATCTGCTTTTTAGGACTTTAGAGGAAGGAAAATAAATTAAAAATCAGCTTTTTAGGGCTTTAGATGAAGGAGAAAATCACTGAGCGTCACTCAGCCTTTAAGTGGAAGAAGGAATGAACAAATAAATAAACAAATGAATGAATAAATAATTAATCAAATAATTTAATGAAATAATGAAAAAAAACAAACAAACAAATAAATAAATAAATGACTTAATGATTTAGGTGGAAGAACAAATGAGCAAATAAATAAACAAATGAATAAATAATGAACTTATAAATGAATAGATAAATAAACAAACAAATAAATAAATAAATACCAGGAACCACCAAACGGGAACTAAATACCAGGAATACCAGCTTTGTCTTTCTCATGATTTAGTTTTTCTCCTGTTCAGTTTGGTTTCCTTTTGACCCTTTTTAGACCCTTTTGTTCCATATTTAGCTCATTTAATGTCAGTTTGTGTTTAGATTTTCCCTTTTTCTAATTTAAAAAAATAATTTTGGAGATTTTCCATCCATTTAAATGATTCTTTGGTCCATTTCTGATCAGTCTTTATCTGTTACCTTTCTTCAGTTATTTAGGTTCTCTGTCTTTCTAATAACAATAATATTAACAATAATAATAATAACAATAACAACAACAGTAATAATAATGCCAATAATAATAATACAATAATAATAATAATAATAATAATAATAATAATAATAATAATAATAA